TCAGACGTCCAGACCACCGTGGACCCCGCAGAAGAAAGCATCTCCTATAGCATCTCCAGCACAGCCAGTGTGGTGCTGGCCCCTGGGGACGTTCACTCTCAGATCATCTGCGAGGTGGCCCATGTCACCCTGCAGGGGGGCCCGCCTCTCCGTGGGACCACCAACTTGTCTGAGACCATCCGAGGTAGATGACCCTCAACCCAGCCCCAGCCCACCCTGGCGGCCATCCTGCTCCCCCCTGGCTTTTACTCCAGGGCTGAATAACCTGGAATCTCCTTCCTACAGCCCTGCCACCCGCCATGCCCCTAGATGTGCCACTGTTACCCTCATTTTCATCCCATGGGCCAAGACCCTTGCTAGCAGCTTCCTTTATTTTACCAGTAAGACCTGCAGTTAGAGAGCACTACTGGTGCTTAGTTTCCTTTATTTTATTGCAGTTATTTTGTTCCACCTGCATGCCAGGGGTTGTGACCATTGACTTCAGTATTACCCTAATAGGAGCTAGCAGTCCTTGAGCACCTACTGTGTGCTGGGCATCGTGCTCAGTGATCTTCTTCACAATCAAGGAATCCCCTCAGGGTCTGCGCATCAGCTGCATGCCTGGCCCTGTCCTGGGTGGCGCCCTGGCTGTGATGGTGGGAGCCGAGTTATGGAGCCCCTTCCCTGTCGTGCGTCTGTGCCGTGAGGTCAGAGCTCTGTCCCGTGCCTTTTCAGTTCCGCCCACCATGGAGGTCACCCAGCACCCCATGATGGTGGCAGGGAACCAGGTGAATGTTACCTGCCATGTGGAGAAGTTCTACCCCCAGAGCCTACAGCTGACCTGGCTGGAGAATGGAAAGGTGTCCAGAACAGAAACAGCCTCCACCCTCACAGAGAACAAGGATGGGACCTATAACCTGACCAGCTGGCTCCTGGTGAACTCGTCTGCCCACAGGGAGGGCGTGGTACTCACCTGCCAGGTGGAGCATGACGAGCAGCCTGCGGTCAGCAGAAGCCATACGCTCAAGGTCTCTGCCCACCAGAAGGGCACACACATCTCCCCAGGTGAGGGCTCTCTCTCCAGTTGACCAAGCTAATTTTAATATTTATCTTTTCCTTGTAAAAAATTGTCTTTATTCATGATACAGTCTATGTATCTTAATTTGTAAAACTGAGGTGAACGCCGTCCACAGGGTCTGAACATGCAGCGATCCCCTTCCTCCTGTCCTTCCTCCTTCCTCCTGTCCCTCAGTCAATCAACTTTTGGACAATGGCACATCCCAGCGTGTTGCTAGCAACCAGGCCAAGGATTAGAACTCTTGTTACCATGTGAGACCCAACGTCCCTTGATAGTTAATTATTGCTATGCCATGGAGTCAGTCCAAAATTTATCTTAATTTTTTGTTAAAAGTAACATTTCATACTAATGATAATACTTATTATAGCCAATGTTATTACAGAAAAACCTAGGAGTCTATAAATATTAAGTAGAAAATCTATTTTTTTAATTTTCTGCCGGGCTCAGGCACTCACCAGAGGCCTAGAGAGACAAAGAAGGAAACAGAAAGAAAAAATGAGAAAGCATCCCTAAGGGGGGGTGACCACACTGCAATTCTTCTCCACCACACTCCTCTCCTGATTTTGGGCATGCACATGCATGTGCCCAGCGTGTCCCTCAAGCTGGCAGGTTCAGGACTCATACCAC